CCTATACCTATCTCTAACGGTATTGGAGATATTTGTGCCGTTTCGTTTTTTATCGTTTTTTTTTGTAAGATGTATCCACGTGTCTTTATCGAGGTCTTTACTGAATTGGTTTGGGTTCTTTTTGATGACGTCTCTTTAAATATATTGAGAAAAATGAGGATGCAATTAGATGGCGCACCTGCAAATTTTTCATATTCAGTGAGAAATTATTTAAATCGGAAATTTAGTAATAAATGGATAAGTAGGAATGGTGCATGTCAGTGGCCACGTAGGTGTCCAGACCTCACCGTAATGGACTTCTTTTATGCGAGCTCTATAAAAAATCTTGTATACAATGTTCCACCTATTACATGCGATGATATTATAGGGAAGAATTTCAGATGCATTTGCCTGAGAATATCATTTGAAGATAGAATAAGATGTATTCAGGAGTATTGTTATCAATTCGAACATCAATTAAAATAGAAGTATAGATAGAAGTATGTGACTTACCACGATATTAGGCTATGTGAGATCGATAAGGGGGGGAACTGATTTTGGTCATATTTTGGTTTGTTCACTTGTTTAAAAAAAACAAACTTAATAAGAACTCCACTGAAAGTGAATTAACCAAAGTGACCAAGTGTGTAAAACAAATACAGCTAATGTTTTCTATAGTGTGTTTACTAAGACGTCTTAAGCTGAGTTTACACTAAAAGTAAATAACGAAAAAATTTTCCAACACTTACACCTAGGTTTGCAACAAATTTTGTTCCGAATTACTAACTTGTAACGAAGACAGTGAATGATAAAACAATTGAAGTCTTTGATGATTACTTTTTTGATTCTAGGACTGTGATTCCAATTTTTCTAGGACATCCTATGTATTCAATAAAACGTTTATAACATAAAATTAAGTAGGTAATAACAACATATGTATGTAAAACAAAATTTATTATTGTATAATTTAACAACTTATTCTAAAGTATTTCACAACACATAAGAGAAGATAAATATTTTCAATGAACAGTTATATTTCTTTAATTTGAAACATAAAAAATATTTTAAGGACTACAGTGACATAAATGCTTTGGATGTTTAGAAATAAAAACATTTGTACTACCCTACTTTATCAAAAGGAAAAATTAATATCGACACTTATTTTCCAAAGTCCAATATAAATTTCTTCCCTATCATGCCTTTAATGGTCATCGTGTTCATCAAAGCTTCTTTATAATTTTCAAATTCGACCATCTTATAAGCTGGGCCTTGTAAGTCGTTGCTAGTCATCATAGAAATTAGCTCCTCAAACATTTCAAGTCGTTCGACACTGTTTGCTTTTTCCTTAGACCACCGCGTCATCCAGAACCCTCTAACTTGAATGTCTTTAAAAATTAGTGCAGACGTGGGCACTGTAACGGGTTCTCTAGACATGCCCCCGTATGTAACAATGGGACTGCCGTTTTGTAAAAGCCTCATGATTTCTAATGCGCTTTTACCCCCCACACAATTCAAAGCTAGCTTTGGCTTCTCCAATTTACCAGTTTTGAAAATTTCTGTCGATCGTATCTCTTCTTCGGTGAGAACATAAGTGGCCCCCAGCTGTTTCAAAAACTGTCTCAGTTCCTCAATCTCTGGTCTACCCCTTACTATATTCACAGTTCTTACACCCCAAGAACGGCATATCTGGATAACATTTTGACCGCAAGCAGAATTAGCTCCGTTTTGAATCACTGTGTCACCAGGTTTTAAATTTGTGAAGTCTTTTAACATTCTGTATGCTGTGCACGGATTAACGGTTAGTGTAGCTGCTTCTACTAAGCCTAATTTTTTAGGTACCTTTAATAGATTTTCTTCAGATAGAGTTAAGTGAGTCCGCCACGTTCCCAAGTTGCTCGTTAAAGGTACCACGTGATCTCCTTCTTCAAAATCCAAAACTCCCGGGCCTATCTTTATCACCTTCCCAACTCCTTCATTTCCAGGTACTGCGGGCAAAGGTGGTTTGGATGGGTATTTGCCTTGTATTGTGTTTACATCAGCCGGATTGACTGGGGCAGCGAGCATTTTCACCAAAACTTCATTTTCTTTGGGCTGGGGCAGCTCCTCGTTTTCCTTGTGAACTACTTTCATTGGATCCCCATACTCAGAATAAACCAATTTTGATACCACAGAACTGTTAAATCTTTTGTATATTTGAGATGGTACAGACATTTTCTTTAGAGAGTTCATTAAGGACACAGATTTTATGCCGAAAGCTGACATTTTTCTTAATAACTCAAATAATCTTTTACACTAATTTACTTTTTAAATTTAAACTCTGCACTACCTGTCAAAACAGTCAAAACATTTAGGGTTAGGTTAGGGGTTAGGTTATCAATAACCTACAAATATCACTTTTTTGGAACGGAAATACGGGGTCTGTTTATTGGCAGATGGTAAACTTTGCGTATTATTTTTACCATAATATTTATTATAATTCATTAAAATGAATATAACAAAATAGTTACTGCAAAATTGTAATTAACACAAAATTTCTTTTCCTGCCACAAGTGCCATCTATCGAGATTCTCTAAATTAATATACTGAATTTCTTATAACTATATAGTCGTCGTCTACGCCATAACAGATGTCGCGCCAAACAATTTTGAATATTTTAATTCAGTAACAATATATTCAAAAGTACAATAATAAATAGTGAACATTTTCTGTGTTTTACTATTATTTTTATTTTTTTACTTGTATGGGACAATCTGTTGTATTATTAAAACAATTGTATTATGCTGTCATCTGTTGAGTGTTGGTAGAACTAAAGCTAATGTTTAAACTTTTCTTTTCAAAATAAATTTTTCTGTTCCTCTCGTAAGATGTCGCAACTCGCAACCGCAACACTTCGTATTTCAATAGCGGACTAGGGGTAGTATACCACGCAGTGTCCATAAATAATTTAAGTGAAAATAAAAAGCAGATAATTTTAATGTATTGATAATTTTTTTCAGTAAGCAAATACCTACAAGAAATCTCGTATTTTGCGTTGTTTTTGTGTTAATGGTATTGAAATTGTAAAGTAGGTGAAAGGGGTAATAAAAGACGTGTTTGTTTCCTATAAGTATGTAAGTAACTGTAAAAAGCAATTAGAAGTTGAAGGATCAAAGTATTTATTGGAATTTGTACCTACCAACAAAGATTAAAAAAACAGTACAACATACAATTTAAAGTACAGTACCTGTTCACACCTTCAAAATGCATGAAGCTTTCTTAAATCTGAATGGTGTAAGGACGAAAGTCTCTACATGGGGCAGATGGGTAGAAGAGTCATCAGAAGGACAAGATGACATCGTTTTGATTATAACTGGTAACCCAGGTATAAATGGATTTTATAATAATTTTGCCAAGACGATACATGAGAAGTTAGGGTACCCTGTGTGGTGTCTGGGTCATGCCGGTCATGATTTACCCAAAGAGACCATTACCTTACCCAAGTTCAAAGAACATCAAGAATTATATGGCCTCAAAGAACAAGTACAACACAAGGTATGTATAGTATACTTATTAATGAATATGTAGTTATAGTGTTGTTGGTTTTAGGCTGATTTCCTAGAGAAATATATTCCAAAGAATGCAAAAATACACCTTGTTGGGCATTCCGTTGGGTCTTATATGATTCTGGAGCTATTGGATCACCCCGCTTTGAGAGACAAAGTCGTAGATGTGTATCTTCTGTTCCCAGCAATCGAACATATGGCCGAAACAAATAATGGAAAATTTTTAACAAATTTTATAAAACCCATAGTACCAATAATAGTTTTCCTCTCTTGGATTTTCACGTTTTTGCCCAATATAGTCCAATTTTTCTTAATATATGTTTATACTACGTTTATCATGAGAATACATGCTAAGCAACATATAAAAAATATAAAAGCCCTCATAAAACCAGGTGTTCTTCGGCGAGTGTTTTTCTTGGCCTTTGAAGAGCTAGACCAAATACGAGAGAGAAATAATGAAGTTATAAAGAAAAACGTGAATAAAATCAAGATTTATTATGGAAGAACCGATGGTTGGGCTCCTCTTATTTTTTGTGATAGAATTAAACGTGACATTCCAGATGTTGATGTCGAGATTACTGATTACCATCATACTTTTGTACTGAACAGTAGTTTCGAGGTGGGAGACAAGGTTTCCACTTGGATAAAAGAGAAAAAATAGATGAACAAAACACCTGCCTGTATTATGTGACTTTTATTGTTAGTAGGGTAATTTATGGAAATATACAAAAGATATAAAATATTGTTTCATTTTTTATTCAAACCTAAAAGTAAATTCAAATTTTCCGCTCTTTTATTAATGGAAGTTTTTTTACCGTTTTCCTTGGAGACATAGCTTAAGACTTTGAAAACTTGGGAATCTATTGGCTATTCACAAAACTAAAAACTCTATTTTAACAGATCAGCCAATAGTCGCTAGCCGCTACTGTTTTTGAACTTATGAGCTTTACGTTTACACAGAATGAAAGAATCATTGAAATGTAGTAATGCCAACTGCCGTTGTTCCAAAGTTGTTAAGTTGCCAACGAACAATACCAACTTAAATTCTTTTTGACTAGACGTCAAGTAAAAGGTAGGTTTCTAAATTTTGTAATCAAAATCTCAAAACATCGGTCTAAATATTTAATTAAATTACCTTCCTTTAATATTCAACTACTTTAATGAAATCATTTTTTCCATATATAATAATATAACTTGAATATGTAGTTAATTTCTAATTATACTTATTGTTTTCAGTTGTGGCTGTCGACTTGGTCACAATTTCTTCAAAATGGTAAGTTTTTTTTATAAATAAATGACAGATAAGTGATATTATCTAGAGTAATTAATTTGCCAGTTATTATATTTTTCCTGACTGTTTAGAAACATTTTATATGGCCTAACCTAACCTATAATTTTTGTTGCAGCCACGCGAATTAACAGAAATCAAGGAATTCCTTTTGACGGCGAGGAGGAAAGACGCCAAATGTAAGTTAATTTAAATTTTTTACAAGCTGTACTACTTTTATAACGCCTTTGTATTCATTTCAGCCGTTAAAATAAAGAAGAACTCCGAGAACACAAAATTCAAAGTACGTTGCTCCAGGTTTCTATACACGTTAGTGATTACAGATAAGGAGAAAGCGGAGAAACTTAAACAATCCTTGCCTCCAGGTTTGTACCAGTTTTCCTATTTATGAACTACAGTGTTAGCGATTTAGTCTTAAAAATAGGTAGTGACGTAATGATGATTTGTGGCGGCTCCCTCTTCTGAGGTTACCCAATATAAATATTGTGCTGAGAATCGCCCTCTGAACAAAATTAATATTTGCATTTTTACATATTTTTTAACATTACATCGACATTTTGTTGGGGATGGATGATATACATCGATGTTGTAAAAACACTCTGAATTTCCAGTTTTCTATAGTTTTAATTTTGTGTGTAGCTGACAAATTGTTTGAGGTAACTGACTGATATCTTTTATTTACGATGAAAAAAATAAGACTATTCATTAGGGTGGCTTAAAAAAAAAATAAATATATTTTTTTGGTGTCTTGTGAAAATATGTTAGTTTATTTATTTAAAAAAATTATTAGTTTGTTCATATTTATTTTTAGATTTCGCTTGAAAACATTTTAGATACACTACTTTTAAAGTTGAAATAATTATGAGTGATAAAATAATGAGAAAAAAAATTCTATTTTTGACGATTATGGAAATTTTTAAAAATCTTCAGACCTCTAAAAAAATTTTTTTGAGCTGATTTTTTGAGGGGGCTCTTAAAACATGATAAACTAACATATTTTAACGAGAGAAAAAAATATTCGTTTTTTTTTTGGCCACCCTACTATTCATATATTTATAATCAACGAAATAGATTGAAGGGCANCTGAACTGATCAAGATCAGACGTGGATCAGACAAACACGAACTAGATCCATGAACCCAATTTCGAAGAGAACAAGATTTTGTTTACTATTGACATTTGATTTGATTTTATTTTTATACAGTATAATTAACAGTAAATTGGCTCCCCCTGTTTTGTGGCCCACAACCCTACTGCTCTTAAAAGTCGAGTAAAGGGACGCGCGATATATGCGCAATAGCAAGCCCAGCCCATAGTCCACCAAGCCCAGCTTAGCTTTCAGCTTTTGAGGTTCCCCTACTGACTTGCCCGTAATCTCTGCGCAGTCACTTAAAGCGATATAAAAAATGAAACTAGGGTCCATGTTTCAGAAATAGGTTAAATAGGCAGTGAATTTACTAGCTGAATTTATTTTATCACTTGGTTAGTTCAGTTTGGTCAAATTGACCGCCGCGCCATTATTCTATGGCTAGAAATTGGCCTCAATGATTTGGGATCGAGGGGGATTATCCCTCTTTATCCTGCCTCATCTCGTGTAGGCCTGGACAGCCTTCGTAGGTGGGCCCCATCCGTCGTCTACCCCGACCGCAAATGCGGCCGGTGTAGGCGCTTTGTGGGACCTCCTTTTGTCCTGGCTGGGCCCCGCCGGCTAGGGCCCTTTCTTCTGGCGCTCTTCTTAGTCAAATTGACCAAACTAGAAGTGACCGTGATTTGAACTAACTTTAGGTTAAACCAGAGATATGGAGTAGGGGAGAATGAACTTCGACGAGTGCGCATCCACTTTTCTAGGGACGTTACGGGCGCAGACATTTTGAAGGCTTTTGCGTCACACAGTGACGCAGTTGCCTAGATAAATGATACTATAGATAGGAAACTTGAACAGATTTCGTGGTCATTAACAGCGCTAACTGTTGACGCTTTCTCCAACTTCTATTGCTTTCCTTTTCTAGGAATTATCGGTAATACAGTGAGTTAAATTACCTGTAGCCGGTAAAAGATGNATCGGTCTAAATATTTAATTAAATTACCTTCCTTTAATATTCAACTACTTTAATGAAATCATTTTTTCCATATATAATAATATAACTTGAAAATGTAGTTAATTTCTAATTATACTTATTGTTTTCAGTTGTGGCTGTCGACTTGGTCACAATTTCTTCAAAATGGTAAGTTTTTTTTATAAATAAATGACAGATAAGTGATATTATCTAGAGTAATTAATTTGCCAGTTATTATATATTTCCTGACTGTTCAGAAACATTTTATATGACCTAACCTATAATTTTTGTTGCAGCCACGCGAATTAACAGAAATCAAGGAATTCCTTTTGACGGCGAGGAGGAAAGACGCCAAATGTAAGTTAATTTTAATTTTGTACAAGCTGTACTACTTTTATAACGCCTCTGTATTCATTTCAGCTGTTAAAATAAAGAAGAACTCCGAGAACACAAAATTCAAAGTACGTTGCTCCAGGTTTCTATACACGTTAGTGATTACAGATAAGGAGAAAGCGGAGAAACTTAAACAATCCTTGCCTCCAGGTTTGTACCAGTTTTCCTATTTATGAACTAGAGTTTTAGCGATTTAGTCTTAAAAATAGGTAGTGACACTTGTAATGATGATTTGTGGCGGCTCCCTCTTCTGAGGTTACCCAATATAAATATTGTGCTGAGAATCGCCCTCTGAACAAAATTAATATTTGCATTTTTACATATTTTTTAACATTACATCGACATTTTGTTGGGGATGGATGATATACATCGATGTTGTAAAAACACTCTGAATTTCCAGTTTTCTATAGTTTTAATTTTGTGTGTAGCTGACAAATTGTTTGAGGTAACTGACTGATATCTTTTATTTACGATGAAAAAAATAAGACTATTCATTAGGGTGGCTTAAAAAAAAAATAAATATATTTTTTTGGTGTCTTGTGAAAATATGTTAGTTTATTTATTTAAAAAAATTATTAGTTTGTTCATATTTATTTTTAGATTTCGCTTGAAAACATTTTAGATACACTACTTTTAAAGTTGAAATAATTATGAGTGATAAAATAATGAGAAAAAAAATTCTATTTTTGACGATTATGGAAATTTTTAAAAATCTTCAGACCTCTAAAAAAATTTTTTTGAGCTGATTTTTTGAGGGGGCTCTTAAAACATGATAAACTAACATATTTTAACGAGAGAAAAAAATATTCGTTTTTTTTTTGGCCACCCTACTATTCATATATTTATAATCAACGAAATAGATTGAAGGGCAAAAGATTAAATAAAATTATATTTTTGCAAAGCGTATACAAAAATATTGGGATTTTTGAAAAATTATAGTTTTCTCTTCTGCAAATTTATGCGCATGAAGTTTTTTTTTGGTTTAATTCAGGATTTTTTAATTTTCTTTGATTGTTAATAAAGGTTTTGGACTTGACGCATCTTTCATTTTTCTTGCTTTCATTTTTAGACAAATTTTCTTTCATTTTTAGGCATTTTAAAACTATAATCGTATGAAACTAAAATCAATCGATGTATTTTTCGATGTATCGTTCTAACATCGATGTGACCTTACGATACATTACATGTTTTTTTTTAAATGTCCATCCCTACATTTTGTATTTAACTATTTAGTTGTTTTGGAGTGGTAATACTGCTTTTTTAATATAAATTTCTCTATTAGAATTTGATTTGATATTATCTTTTCAGGTTTACAAGTAAAGGAAGTAAAATGAAGACAAAATTTATCATGTATTTTCTTTTTGTAACCTAATATATGTAAGTTAAAATTAATTTAGTTTATTTTCTATTAACTATCCCCTTCCGATGATAAATTTACTTTATCAGTATATTCACGTACATCAAATTTGTCTTCCGACTCTGAATCTGAAGTTTCATCTATAATGTTGTAACTTTCCGCCTTTTTAAATCTAACTCTCCTGAAAAATAGTAAAATCTGAAAAACTGCTAACTATTGTACAAAAATTGTTTCATATTTGATTTATTGCGAAACTCGAAGGTTAAGAAAAATATTTTAACTGAAAATTGCATAGGAAAAGTTTCGTTACCTTTTTTGCTTCTTTTTTCTCCATCTAATGAAAGTGCCGTAACATACTTTACAACATAACGCAAAAATTATAATAACGAGTCCGACCATAATAACGTACAGTACAGTGTCAATGGGTGACCATTCGGTTGGATCTACATTTTCGACTACAGGTGCAAGAGTAGGACCAGCTACGAAGACTTTTTCGGTACTAAAAATTAGCTATTAAATAAATTATTGACAAGATTTTATAAATCCAAGGGAAGTCCAGATTCTTGCAGATTGTAGTAAGTACCACAATCAATGATCTTGTTCCAAAATGGTGGGTTAACATTTCAATTTGTGCTATTTGTATAAAAAGAAAACTTAAAATTTTATTGTTGCAGTATTAAAGACAGAAATGTTGAGTAATTGCGTAATCGTTCAAAATATGTGAAATTTATTGTATAAAAATGTATTGAAAATTCAAGATTCGTGATGGAGATTTTACATAAAATTGCTGTTGATTGCGGTACTTTATCAATATCTAATTACTTTTAGTAAGTGAAAAAATCCCTAGATTGACCTAATACTGCAATCAAATGTTTTTGTGTTTATTCAAAAATGACGGTTAGACATGTCAGTTTCTGTTAATTATGCAAAAAAAACTTATAAATACTTATATACTTAAAAAATTATACTTAAAAATATAATTGTTATGGTATTATATGTAGAAATATTAAGGTATTGTTCAAAATATTTATGTGAATATTAATTGCGTATAAAAATATTTGGAAAATTGACATATTTCAAGGTTTAGATTTAGTCCAGACGGTATCTGTTTCAAAAAGCCATATTTGGGTGATTCGTATATCCACGGAGACTTTTGGCTTTTTGGCTTTCAAATATCACTAGAAATGAAAATTTTTCTATGCACATAAAAAAAAACGTGGGCTTAACTAATATGTTAAAAAAAATCGAAAAATGTCATATTTTTCCTCCTATTTAATTATGTATCTTTTCAAGAGTTGATTTTAGGCGAAAATGGAAGAGGAAAAAAATGTTTGTAATTAAATTTTTTACAAAACATGACTAGTTACAAATCGAATGAATCATGATTATTGTAAAAATCGAAAAAATCGCCAAAAATGGGGTTTAAAA